CACACACACACACACACACACACACACACATACTCGCTATGTAACCATTTTGTTGACAGTCGATGGGGGACAACATTTTAAAGAATTAAAAAGCAATATTGTCATTGTTATCTGAAACAAACATGTAAAGCAGGTGCCTCTCCGCGTGGCGAACCCACTGCCTCTTGGTGTTTTTTAATCCCTCAATAGTACAATCTACGGTCTGCAAGATCTCTGGATTTGTCTGTCTGTTTTTATTGGCTTGTCAACACCTGGACATGTGAATTGCGGATGTCTGGGGCTTGGTTATTCGCAGGTCTGTGTGTGAGTGCTGTGTGAATGTGAGATGTTGGGCAGCGCCGCAGCAGTGCTGCAGGAGTGTCGGCGGGGGGAAAAAAATCCGAAAGCACAAAAAGACGCAAGGTGCAAAGGTTTCCAGATAGAGAAAAAACAGAGTGTGCTGGGTGTGAAAGAGCAGTGGCCATGTTTTTCCAACGTGGCATTGGGGTCGGGGGAACTTATGTGCGCGGATGGGCAGAGGTTCTAACCCCAACAGCACTCACATACGCGCCACACCGGCAAGCACACATCCCCTCCCCCCCCCTCCCTTCCTGATACACACACTCCTCCCTCACACACACGCGACTGCCCCTCCCTACCCTCTCTTTCCCTCCTGAATGCATGCGTGCTTAACCCCAACACCACTCACATACAACCCATGCCAGCAAACACGCATTCCTCCTTGCCCCTTCCCCCCCCTTCCTTCCCGACACGTACGCTCATTCCTCACTCACACGCAGCTGCCCCTCCTACCCCCTCCTCCTTCCCCCCTGCACGCACACAGGCCTCCCACCCCAGGACATGCACACAAGCGGTGCCAGAGTGGAGTCAGGGAAAAGAAATCCGGAACCGGAAAAGACAAATGCAACGGGGTCCATCGGTACGTCGATTGAAATTGGAACAATACAGAGAAGGTTAGCATGAAAAAAAGTTTAAAAAGCAGACCGCGAGAAACAAAAGGCGAAAGGTTTCTGACAAGAGAGGAAATAGAGTGCGTGTTGCAACATTCTGTGCCGACAGGCAGGGACATCACACAGAAGAATGCTGTTTTTCTCCTCAGAGCTCTCTGCCCTTTTCAAGCATGCTCCCACCGCCTGCAACATGAACACGCAACCCCCTCTCCTGCCAATGCTGCCGTGCATGCCCCCCCCCTCCCCTCTCGCCCCCTGCTATGTGCATGTTGACACCCCTGTCCGCCTGAAGAACCGCACAACCCCCATTCTACCCCGCCCGCCCATCCACCTAACCCATGCATCCATGCATGCCCTGTGCCCCCACACCCCCATCAACACATGGCCATCCAGCCACCTACACACCCACCCTCCCACGAATGCATGCATGCGCACACCCTGCTGAAGTGGGGGGTTGCACCCAGGCACAGTTCTGCGCGTACCGACTGCCTGATGGTTGGATCTGGGGTTTGAAGCCGGGCATAGATCTTGAGGTACCAACAGACCAGTGAGTTAACCGCTGCAGGTACAGTGCAGTAGACTGGGTCCCCGTCTTCGTTTGTGGAGCTGTTTCGTTTGAACGTGTACTGTGTACGCATGCAAATCACGGTACATGAGGAGTTGATACAGTCAACAACAGCATGTAGTCTGCGTAAGAAAGAACGCAAAGCAAGTACACCAGTCAATGTAAAACATCCGGGGCGGTATCGCCGATGCCGCGTTTTGGCAACCACCATGTTGCCTTCATCAGGGGTAACCACTACTTCTCCCTTAATCACCATCACCTTCTGTCCTCGTATCCCACTTCCGTCGTTGACATCACACGTAATCCGGATTACTAGTGACTAGAACGGCGTCTGCCTGAAAGAGATTGACTGGTATGTACCCAAAAGGTATTTATGGCTCGTGTCGTTCCCTCCCGGTACCTGTTCACTGCGTTAAAACCGGGTCCAACTGGGCCCAGACCAAACGCCGAACCCTCAACAAACCACAATTTTGTCATAGCACACAGTCTCAGGTTCGAATTCTACCAGACTTAGCAGACTATTATTATCGTATTGCCAGCTACGGGTCCTACAAGGCAACGTAATCACCGGGCCACATGTGCCCCCTTCGGCCAGTCTGGTTTCCGATTGGAAACCTGGGCCACATGCCCTATGTCAAGATGCAAAAGGCAAAAGGCAAAAGGCAAACCCCGGAACTCGTATGCTCCAACTATTACCCTGTTGAATGCCACCTTCCTATCTTCCAGTCACACCAGCACAAGTCGCATACGTCTATGGAAAACAGAATCATCAAATGCTGCTTACGCCACAGTAAGATTTCTAAAATAAAAAAGTAAAAAATAAAAATAAAAATAAAAAAAGATTTCTACCAAATGGGCCGGGGTCCAAAACTTCCAGCTAATGTCCTAGCTGTTGGCCCCGGAGTTAAGAGCACGACCTACGCAGCAAGTTAAAACAGAAAAGAAAAATTAAAAACAAAACAAAACAACAAAACACACGGCACGGCAATCATCATTACGACAACAATTCCCCTATATCTAGATGTGCGAATCTAAGAAGTCAACCTGTCATCTCATCTTCGAGATTTCGTCCCTTCTGTAAGCAAAGCGTTTTAAAACCCTCGGGAATGTTTCAGTCGAGAATCCTTTTGAGTCGCAGGTCTCTCTTCTTTGTCAGTACTCGCATTGGGATTTCGGACCGAGTTGTTGTGTTCCGATCAAGTCGGTGGAGGCAGCCACCAATATGATGGCGCTCTTTTGCTGTTTATTTCCCCACGACGTATAGGATTGCCCGTTTTGAAAAACGAGCTTCTCCTCCGTCCAGATTGTGTCTTCGTTCTTCAATAGTTGCACGCAACCCAGGTCAGGCATCCTTTGGCTGGTTCTGACACCTCACAGCCCAGGAATCTCACATTGCTCCCACCATTGTCTGTACGTTCCCGGCTCAGATTCTTTGGATAGCAGGATTCAAGTTGTTCATAAGACCCCATTTCGGATCTTTCTGGATGACGCGACGGTTGTGAGGATCACGTTGTCAACGAGCCTGATTCCAGAGACCTGTAGGTCCTGTCCCTGTACAGTGTTATTTTCTGTGAGCTGTTCCTTATCTGAAAAGATGAAGTGAGTAAAAGAAAAAGAAGAGAAGGAAAAACAGCACAGGGTGCGGCGGCCTCTGGGCTGTGAGGGCTAGCACTACGCTAAGAACTGCTGCAGGCGTGGCCATGGCAGTCCGGAGGATTAGGGCGCACGAGTGTGTTGTGGGGCGCGTGCTTACTCTGCTGAGGGGGGAGCCGTGAAAGGCACTCTTCCTAGGGTAACCTCCATTCAGTCAGCACGATTCCTGGCTGGCCGAGGAGGGCTGCAGATACTTTTCTTGTTTTTTTCACGTATCGAAACTTTGTACTCCGCGCCAAAGCATATATGGAACCGATGAGGATGTTGTTCCTTGGTCAATGATAAGGAAACTGCCGCTTTCTCCGAGGATTGTTGTTCTGTTTTTCCGCGCCGACTTAAACTCTCTATAGACGACAAGATAGCGAAGACGGGAGCACCTGTTACTGCGAGATTGAAGAAGACGGGAACGCGGACATGCACCTGTTCATACTTTTGCTGTAGGATGCGGTTGGGCTTTTGTGGCCAGGAAGTTTCCGCAACTCTTCCTTTCGTTTTGTCCTACGTCTAATCCCAGGAAAGATGGCTTAAGAAAAACAAATTCAAACATGGTTATCTTCTCTTTTGTTGGTAGGCGGCTGTGTCAAATACGAAGACGGGTGGAGCTATAGGCTGGAGAGAGAGAGAGAGAGAGAGAGAGAGAGGCACCGTACCACTCTCAAAATGTGCAAAAGACAAAAATGTGGCGGGTGCATCTAGACCTGTTCTAGCGCGAAGTTCATTCTCATTTTGCACATTTCGAGAGCAGTGTGGCGATGCCCAGAGTCGGCGTGTTCGCCGCGTTGCTCCTCCCTGGGCGCCGACTCTCTCTCTCTCTCTCTCTCTCTCTCTCTCTCTCTCTATCTATCTATCTATCTATCTATCTATCTATCTATCTATCTATCTATCTATCTATCTATCTATCTATCTATCTATCTATCTATCTATCTATCTATCTATCTATCTATCTATGTATCTATCTCTATTTGTCTAACTATCTATCTATCTATCTATCTATCTATCTATCTATCTGTCCGCCACCAGCTCCTGGGCAGTTCAAATACATCGAGTTTCCCCCTTCACCAACCATTTTGTATTTCGCCAATTTTGTACTTTGCGCTCATCCCTAGTTTCTTGTGGGAGATCATTAGTGGCAGTATGGATTTTACCACCATGCTCCTCCTTACAAGGGTGTTTGACCATACATGGGAAAGCCAAACCCTATTCGTACTTAGGGAAGGATGATCACACGGAACTACCCCTAACCTAGGAGTCCACACGAAAGTCACATGCCTCGATGTCATGGTAGGAAATGGGGTTGTGTTGTACGGATCTCCCCTCTACTGACCCTTGTCAGATCCCTCCCCTCTCCATAGGCAGGTGGGTGATCCATCTGTACCCCGACATGTGAAAGCGGTGGATGTTGCCTAAAAGGTGTATGCCAGCACTTCGCTTTCCGTGACCTCTCCTTCGATGTCACATTTGCATATTCAATCTCTCCCCGGTGTAGGTGGTCTATTGCATACTTGTAATATATTTGGTCAAATTACATAGCCAGGCGGGGCTTGATAGAGGGGGTGATATAAGCATCCTCCCCTTATTTTGTGCTATTAATACGGAGAGGATTGTTGTGGGTGGCTTCACCTGTCTCAAACCGTCACCTCACATAGGCCTTCACCCCTATAATTAATCACAGACTACCAGACATAAAAACATTATCAAAAGAGCAAAACCAAC